TCCACCGCCCACACGGGGGGCCGCGTCCTCACAGGACGGCCGTCTTCTTCTTTCCGGTTTCTTTTTTTCCCCAGCTTTTGCACAAAGCCGTGGCGCAGGGAATTTTTCTTTTTTTAATCTTTGTGGTTCGAGGTGAATCAAAATGACGGCGGAGGGCGAGGCAGGGGCACGTGGCGAAGACGGGCGCTCTGCAGACACAGTTCTCGCAAACCTGGAGTCTCCTGCCGCGGGGTGCGCGACACCCCCAGAAGCCTTCCCTTCGGCCGGCCCTCCCGCTGCCTTCACGCTGGCGAGGCCCTGTCTCTATTAAAAGCAAAGAAATAAGGAGTTTCTTGTGTGGCGGGGCGCGGTAGCTCATGTCCGTCATCCCAGCACTTTGGGAGGCCGAGGCGGGAGGATCGCTTGAGCCCAGGAGTTCGAGACCAGCCTGCGTAACATGGTGAGACCTCGTCTCTATAATGAATCAAAAGATTAGCCGGCGTCATGGTACACGCCTGTAGTTCCAGCTACTTGGGAGGCTGAGGCGGAAGGATCGCCGGAGCCCAGCGGGTCGAGGCTGCGGTGGCCGGGAGCGTGCCCCTGCCCTCCAGCCTGGGCGACAGAGTGAGACTCCGACTCAAAAAAAAAAAAGAAAAGATGGATGCCAGTGGTGTGCGGAGGCCTTGGGCAGAGGCTGGGAGCTCAGAGGGAACAAGGAAGAGCCCCGACGCTGATACCCATTCCAAAAGGCGCCACCTGCCTCTGTGCTGGAAAAGCTGGACGACTGTTAATCATCTTTCTCTTCCGTAAATTCAGAAGCTGAGACACTTTGATCAGAGAGAGAGGCACCCAGCCCCGTCCACTCGGGGGGCGTGGGTGTGTGCAGTTTGTTCTTGGAGAGCCCCAAGGGGCCAGGTGTCCCTGGGTCACAGGTGACAGCATCCTGGGCATCCCCGGCTGTCCCCACTGCCCCCGCCCCACCGAGCTGATCTCAGAGTTCCTTGTGGGACGAGTCCGTGTGGAGGGGACACGGGCAGCGAGAGGTGCCCTCGTAGACATCTCCAGAGGCTGCTTAAGGGTTTCGCGAAGTCTTAAGGATTCCGGGCCTCCTTCGGGGCGTTAGAATATTTATTGGTTGTTTTTTGGTTTTGTTATTTTCCTAAATCAATCATGTAGTCGATTTGAGGATTTTTTTTTCCTGTAGCTCAAAGGTGGAAGGACTTTATTTTCTTAGTTAACCAAATATCGCTGAGAGGGATTTAAAAATACCGTTCCTACCAAAGATTTTTATGAATAAAGGCTTCTATTTTGATAACACTTCTCTATATTTTTACTCATAGGAATGTCACTGTCAGACAGTTATCCTTTTAAAAGCTTGTAAAACCAGGTCTCTTAAGTGACTGGAGTCACCTCAATCGGCAGCAATTATGGGAACCAATATTCTGAAATTTCTCAAGCACCAAGGGAAACGTAACAAGGCATGTTTCCTTGAAGGCGAGGAGAAAAGACCCAGAGACATAGAGAGACTTGTCCTGCCCGGGTGCCTGCCTGCCGTGGTTAGTGTCCACAGGGCTCAGTCATGTGACCTGATGCTTGTTTCTCTTGTACAGAGAGCTGCTGGGAATAGGGTTTTGTATATAAGTATTGTATTAAAAATTAGGTGATTACCAGACATCCTTTGGCGGAGACCATTTTTTTAAAAGTGAATGTGTACGAGGCCACGGAGGGCCAAGGCCAGGCATTCGTCCAAATAAATTTGAATACACGCCGCTTTTCTCGCGTGAATGCTGTCTGCGTGACCCTTGCCTGAGGGATCTCCGAGTGTGTCCCCAAAGTCCTGTGGCTGACCCTGTGAATTCAGTCCTGTGTCATCTGGTGCCAGTTCTCCGTGTTCCTGCGACTTCCTCTCTCTCTTAGTGTTTGCCAGTAGCGGGGGTGGGGGCAAAAAAATCCAGAATTTATTCATAAAAAATTGTGTGTGTTTTTTTAGTTGGAGTCTCACTCTGTCGCCCAGGCTGGAGCGCGAGGACACGCTCCCAGTCACCGCAGCCTCGACCTGCTGGGCTCCGGCCGTCCTTCTGCCTCAGCCTTCCAAGGAGCTGGAACTGCAGGCACACACCACCATGCCCGGCTAGTTTATGTGATTTATGGTAGAGACGGGGTCTCGCCAAGTTGCCCAGGCTGGTCTCAAACGCCCGGACTCAGGCCATCCTCTCGTCTCTGCCTCCCAAAGTGCTGGGATGACAGGTGTGAGCCACTGCACCCAGCTATGTTTATTCTTACCTGTCTAAACTTCAGTTTCCTCCAAAGTCCTCTCTGTCAGGTGCTTTTTCCACGGCTCAAACTCGTCCATGTAGATGCCTTTCAATGCTTCTGCATTTGTTTCGCCTCTTCCACATCGGCAAAATGTCTCTCTTGGAGGACTTTTTTCGTTGGGAAAATGAAATAAAATCACTGGGGGCGAGACCAGGCCAGATAAGGAAGGTGGGGCCTGGGGGGGGGTCATGCTGCTTTTGGTCCAAAACTGCCGAACACTCAGCGCGGTGTGGGCAGAGGTGCTCTCATCAGTGGCCATCGTGAAGTGGGCAAATGCACTGAAAGAATCTCCAAAAAAATTCACTGAGGCAGGACTCTGTGGCTCAGGCTGTCATCCCAGCACTTTGGGCGGCTGAGGCAAGAGGACTGCCTGAGCCCGGGGGTTTGAGACCAGCCCGGGCAACTTGGCGAGACTTCGTCTCGACAATAAATCAAAAATTAACCAGGCGTGGTGGCCCACGCCTGTAGTTCCGGCTACTTGGAAGGCTGAGGCAGAAGGATCGCGGAGCCCAGCGGGTCGAGGCTGCGGTGGCCGGGAGCGGCCACTGCCCTCCATCCTGGGCGACGGAGTGAGACTCCCACTCAAACAAAAAAATTCACTGAAGCCAAACGAGCCTCTCGCGACAATGCTCACGGGTCCACAGATGCTGATGGATTCTTAGAACACTCACCCGGGGGGCAGGGAAGCCAGGACTCCAAGAGGCTCGCCCTCCAGAAGATAATACAGTGTTTTTCGAGTTGCCCCTTTATAGGCATGTGTGTGTGTGCTGTTTTGCATGTGACTGTGTAGATTACACGTGTGCAGGCATGTGCCTTTGCTCTTGTGCATGTGTGCAGGTGTTTGTGTGTGTTTCCTTGTGCCTGTGTGTGCACTGTGTTCATGTGTGTGCGCTGTGTGCATGTGTGTATTTGCAAGTGCTTGTGTGTGCACACACGAGCCGTGTGTAGACATGTGTTGGGACGGAGGACCATGGTCACTCTCCCGGCAGTCCCTTCTGCGACCCCTGCATCTCCACCCCTGGTCCCACCACCCATAGGCCTTGAGGATTCGTGGACCCGTGAGGTCTCCGGAACCTTCTGGGGACCAGCCCTGGGTTGCAGGCGTTTTCACTTCGGCAGTGGGGACACTTCTTAGCAGTCACCACCTGGAATCACTGTCACCTCCTACAAGAAAGGATGTTTTCTTTTTTTCCTTTTTTTTTTTGGAGTTGGAGTTTCACTCTGGGGCCCAGACTGGAGTGCAAGGGCACGCTCCCGGCCACCTCAGCCTCAACCTGCTGGCTCCAGCGATCCTTCCGCCTCAGCCTTCCAAGTAGCTGGAACCACAGGCATGAGCCACCACGCCCAGGTGATTTTTTGATTTATTGCAGAGACGAGGTCTCGCCAATTTACCGAGGCTGGTCTCAAGCTCCTGGGCTCAAGCAGTCCTCCCACCTTGGCGTCCAAAAGTGCTGGGATGACAGGCGTGCACACTGCACCCAGCCGGGGTTTGGAGCTGCTTGGCTAGCTTTTTGAGAAATGAATTCAGAGCTGTTGGCTTTGATGCCCTCTTCAAAACTATACGTTTATCGGTCGCAAACCCTTGCTTGGCAATCTTGCTCCTTTTGAAAATGTGGTCTGTTTCTTACTTCAAAATTCACTGTGCCGTGGGAGCTTGCTCTTTGCGGCCAAATCACATGTCGATATTGTTGCTTTTTTTTCTTTTTTAATTGGAGTCTCACTCTGTCACCCAGGCTGGAGGGCAATGGCACACTCACGGCCACCCCAGCGTGACCTGCTGGGCTCTGGCAATCCTTCCGCCTCAGCCTTCCAAGTAGCCAGAACTACAGGTGCGCGCTACCACACCTAACTGATTTTTGATTTATTGCAGAGACAAGGTCTCGCCAATTGCCCGGGCTGGTCTCGAACCCTCAGGCTGAAGCAATCCCGTTGCCTCAGCCTCCCAAAGTGCTGGAATGACAGGCTGAGCCACCGAGCCCAGCCTTGTAAAGCTGTTTTTGACACCAGAGTGTCCGCAAAGCAGTCCAGCCCTTCCAGTGGGGACGCTCTCCTTAGGGGGGTTCCCAGCGTGGCCCCAGCTTCCTTCTGTCTCCTGCACGGGAGTCGCACGCCGACCAGCTCAGGCTTCGGGCGCCCCCTGGTGCTGGCTTTCCGCCCACCGCAAGCTCACAAGGCCCTCTGTGATCAAGAGCGTCCGTGGCTCTCGTTCGTGGCTCTCGCCTGCCATCCCGGCACTTGGGGAGGCCCAAGCGAGTGGATTGCCTGAGCCCGCGGGTTTGAGACCAGCCCGGGCACCTTGACAAGATTTTGTCTCTACAGTACACCCGGCTAATTTTTAATTTATTTTTATTGTAGAGACAAGGTCTCACCAAGTTGCCCGGGCTGGTCTCAAACCCATGGGTTCCGGCAGTCCACTCGCCTCAGCCTCCCAAAGTGCTGGGATGACAGGCTGAGCCACTGAGCCCGGCCTGGTCTCAAACTTTTGACCTCAGGTGATCCTCCCGCCTCAGTCTCCCAAAACCCTGGGATTACAGACCTGAGCCATGTTAGTATTTTTCATTCATTGAATATATAAAAACCGGGTAAATCCCATTTTTAAAAAGCCAGATTTCGCCAGGTGCAGTGGCTCACGCCTGTCAGCCCAGCACTTTGGAAGGCCAAGGCGGGAGGATCACTTAAGCCCAGGAGTTCGAAACCAGCCTGGACAGCATCTCTGCAAAAATTACAAAACTTAGCCAGGTGTGGTGGTGCATGCCTATAGTCCTAGTTACTTGGGAGGCAGAGGCAGGAGGATCGCCTGAGCCCAGGAGGTTGAGGCTGTGGTGAGTTGTGATTGTTCCACAGCACTCCAGCCTGGGCAACCCCGACTCCAGATAAATAAAAATGAATAATACAAATCCAATCTGGGTGCAGTGACTCACGCCTATAATCCTAGCACTTTGGGTGGCCGAGGCCAGAGGATTGCCCGAGCCCATGGGTTTGAGACCAGCCTGGGCAACTTGGCAAGACCTTGTCTCTACAATAAATCAAAAAAATTAGCTGGGCATGATGGCGCACATCTATAGTTCCAGCTACTTGGAAGGTTGAGGCGGAAGGATCACCAGCACACAGCAGGTCAACGCTGGGGTGGCCATCAGCGTGCCATTGCGCTCTCAATAATATTACAAATCCAGATTGGCATGCTCTTTTTTTTTTTTTTTTTTTTTTTGAGTAGGAGAGTTCAAAACCAAAGTGCTGGGATTACAAGGGTGAGTCACCGTGCCTGGTTAATTTTTTAATGTATTGTAGAGACCAGGTCTCACCAAGTTACCCAGGCTGGTTTCGAACTCCTGAGTTCAGGCATTCCTCTCACCTCCGCCTCCCAAAGTGCTGGGATCTGTTCACTTGTGTGTGTGTGTGTGTGTGTGTGTGTGTGTGTGTGTGTGTGTGTGTGTTGG